CTTCTTCGCCTATCACTTCAACTTTGCCCATTGGTTCTCCCTCCAACTCGACTTTTGTTGACTCGAACAACCAATCTACTTCGGATTCTCATTCAAGGTCCTCCTCATCTCACACCGCTATCCCAGACTTTTCCTCCATCATGACTTCTCCGGTGGTCTCCTCAACGACAGATGACCGTATCAAGATTCCTGAGCTCCGTGATGGTATCTTCCCCTTTTGGAATAAAAGATTGCACTTTGCACTTCAAACTCGTGGTCTCCTGGGTTTCTTAACAAACGACACTCCGCCAACCGATCCAAATCAACTGGCCATCTATCGACGCAATCAAGGCCGTGTAATGGAGTTGATGGTTAATTCCTTGGACGCCACGAACGATGCTCTTATTCAAATCACGGACACTCCGAAGATGGCTTACGAAACTTTAGCCAAAGCTCATGGTAGCAGTGGTGGTGTCTTAGCGGCTGCTACTATATGCGAAATAGCAACTGCTCGCCTCGAATCAGGTCAATCTTTATCTGATTTCATTACCAAGATTTGTACTTTGCACAATCAGTTGGCTCAGTATGCTACAGAAGACAAAGAGATTGCTTTATCGTCTAAACTATTAGCGATTTCTCTCTTGAATGGTTTGGGAAAGGAATTCAATTTCATCACGGCTCCTTTCTTCGCTGATTTATCAAAACTCACTGTCCAGTCGGTTATGGACCGTTTGGTGATGGAATGCGCGAAGCAATCCTCGTCCGGAACCGCGGCTTCTTTGACTGCAACAGCCTTTACCGCCAAAACCAATCAATCCAATCCTTCAGCCAACAATCAACGTCGTATCGGATCTGGACCAAATGACTTATGTAACTTACCGAGTCATCGTGGTTTGCCTCACACGAACAGAAACTGTCATGCTCAAAATGGCAAATCACGAGCTAGGCCCACCTCGTCGAACGTCAACCAATCTTCCACTGGTTCTGCAACTCTATCAGATGCCGAGATGGCGAAACGCTACCTAGCCATTGAGGCTGCTCATGCCGCGAAGAAGACACCATCTGTACCAGCTTTTAACGTTACGACCTCAAACCAATTCAGTGCTTTGGAATTAGTTGACAATTTTCCAGATGAAGGCTTTGCAGCTCATGCTTATGTGGCGACTACTGAGAACTCTGACTTAGGTACCATATTAGCTGATTCGGCGGCTTCCAGAAACATTGTGTGCAACAAAGATATGTTTTTACATATGAAGCCTATTTCGCACATCAAGATTACTGGTATCTCCAACATTCCACAGTTCGCGACTCACATCAGGACAATTGTCATTCCTGGTTTTTCTGAAGATACGCATCAACCGGTTGATATCATGATACCAGAAGTCCTATATGTACCTACCATGACTGTGAATTTATTATCTCTTAGTCAGTTGTGTATGAACGGAGCGGCATTCTCTGGTTCTGCTGAAAGCATTACAGTCTTGGGTATGAATGGAGGTTCTTATTTTGTATGTGTTAAAACATTGGATGGGAGCTTATGGGAGACCAAGGTTCGCATTTCATTGTCAGTTTCCATTTTCGCTGCTTCAGCTGAACGATGGCATCATTGTCTAGGTCACCTCAACTATCATGCAATCAACAAACAGCGGCAAGAGGCGATATTGATTTATCTTCATCTATCAAATCTTCTTCTCATGTATCCTGTATCACTTGTCAACGCGCTAAGATCGCTAGGCTTCCTTTTAAATCTCATTTCCCAGTTTCAACTCAAATTCTCAACCGAATTCACTCAGATGTGATTGGTCCTTTTCCTGTTTCTCTTGGAGGTTCTCGTTATTTGGTTACGTTTATTGATGATTGCTCAAGATATTGTGTTGTCTTTCCTATTAAAAACAAATCTGATGTTTTTGATTGTTTTGTGAAATTTAAGACTCAAGTAGAATTGTTGTTCAAAACTAAAATCAAGATTTTTCATAGTGATCGGGGAGGGGAGTATTCTTCAAACGCTTTTATAAATTATCTTTCATCTTATGGTATAACTTTAGAACAAGGTCCAGCGGAAACACCAGAACAAAACTCGGTGGCTGAAAGATACAACAGGAGTTTGATAGAACGTATAAGATGTAATCTTCATCATGCATCATTACCAACAAACTTATGGGCTGAAATAGCAGTTGCGACAACTTTCGTATTAAATCAGTCTCCGCATTCTTTTCTAAATTTTTCTACTCCATTAGCAAGATGGAACCTTTCTCTTCCAGGAAAAGGGGCTCATGGTCCTGATTCTTCGTTTTTACGGACGCTTGGATGCTCTGCTGTTTATTTGGCTCCAAGGATCTCCGGAAAACTTGGTCTAAAAGGAAAGGAAGGTGTTCTCGTTGGGTATGAATTGCACGCTAAAGCGTATAGAGTCTGGGATTTAATGGAACAAAAGGTTGTAATTACGCGCTTGGTAGTTTTCAATGAGGATAAATACCCTTTCAAATCATTGCCAAAAGTTGTTCCATCCCCATCATTCGTAATCCTCCAAGATTCAGGCTGTGATATTCCAGATCATCAAACTATTCCAACATCTGGTTCTCTTTCTCCTTTAAATCAATCTTCTACTACACCTCCTAAATCACTTTCTTCATTACCTGCTACCCCTGAATCCACAAATCATGGTTCTCAACGTACTCCTATTCATAATCCAATTCTTAAGCAACTTGTTCTTCCGACTATTTATTCTCCTACATCGCACAAATCTCCTAGTCAAGATGTTATTCCATCAACAACAACTGCCGCTTCCAGAGGAAACAATCGCCCTTCTCGAAACACAAGTAAGCCACAGAGACTTGGAAATTTTGTTGGACATGTTGGATTGGATTCAAATGATGAACCTACTTTCAAACAGGCAATGGAATCGCCCGATGCGGATAAGTGGAAGGCTGCTATGCAAACCGAGTTCGATTCCCTTACCAAACATCAAGTAGGCACTCTGGTCGCTTGTCCGGAAGGTGCTAGAGTAATAGGAGGGATGTGGGTGTTGAAGAAGAAAAGAGATGAGAAAGGAGAGGTGTCTAAGTATAAAGCTAGATGGGTGTGTTTTGGAAATAGACAAATTGAAGGACTTGATTTCATTGATACTTACTCTGCTGTTGGTAAATCCGATACGTTTCGATTCCTTGTTGCTATTGCCGCATACCTCAAATGTCACGTGGTTCAATTTGACATCATGACCGCTTTTCTTCATGGCCTTATCAAGCAAAAAGTCTATATTCAACAAGTAAGGGGTTTTGTTAAACCAGGTACTGAAGGAATGGTTGTTGAACTTTACAAATCTTTGTATGGGACTCGACAGGGAGCTCGGGATTTCAGCGACGATCTCCGTATCAAATTGAAGGCTTTTGGGTTTGTTACATCCAAGGCAGACGACTGTTTATTCATTTACCGACGAGGCTCTCAATTCATCTATCTGCATATGCATGTGGATGACGGCTTTATGATTTCCACCTCAGAGTCTCTCCTGGACAAATTTCGACTTCATCTTTTGAAATCCTATCAGCTTAAATGGACACCTCGCCCGTCCTTGCATCTCGGAATGCGTCTTCAATATCACGCTAATGGTGGTATCTCGATTGATCAATCTCATTATGTTCAAGACATGCTCGATTGATTTGGCATGGATAACCTCAATCCAGTCAAGTTACCTTTTCCAGTTGGCCTGAAACTCAAGCTAGGAAGTCCTGAAGATGTTGCAGCGGCTGCTTATCTACCATATCAATCTCTTATTGGCTCCTTAAACTGGGCATCTGTCAGTACCCGTCCCGATATCGCATACGCCGTCAGCCAACTTTCCAGATTCAATTCTTGCTACACCTTCGATCACTGGAACGCTGCGAAGCATTTAGTGAGGTATCTTAAAGGGTCTATCTCGCGAGGAATCTTGTTCGAAGGTTCTATGCCCGCTGATCTCAAGGGGTATGGTGATGCAGATTACGCAAATGATCTTGTCGATCGCAGATCTGTGACTGGGTATCTTTTCACTTTTGGTGGATCAATCATCTCCTGGCGAAGTCGGCGTCAGAAAACTACTGCTTTATCGACTACCGAGGCCGAATACATGGCCATCTCTGACTGTGCTCGGCAAGCGTTATGGTTCAAATCCTTGTTTCGTGACCTAAACTTACCAGTATCCGCGGTCTCCATTTCTTCTGTTGGGGATGCAATTCAACTCTTCAATGACAATAGGGGTACGGTATTCTTATGTAAAGAACCTGTCATCAATGATAGATCCAAACATATAGACGTTCGCTATCATTTCATCCGAGATCACATTTGACTTAACAATATAGTGACTGCTCATGTACCTACGACCTCAATGCCAGCGGATTTTTTAACTAAACCTTTGCCCTTTGATGCTTTTGAACGTTGTTGCAAGCAGGTGTCAAATTTGGAGTGCTCGAGTTAGGGGGGAATGTTAGTTGGTCATTATCTCACATGTAATGTTATCAAATAGTTCTTAGTTATGTATGCTCATCCTGCGTGATGTTTTCTCTGTTGTCATGTTTCTTTTTCTTTTCTCATGTTACTGTCGTGTCTGACCATCCTGCGTGATGAGCCATCTCTACCTATTTGATATGTTTACATGCTTGATGTTTAACTCTCGTATCTCATCAGTGTTATTTCTCTACTACTTATAGTCTATGAGTCTACACTAAAGTTAGAACTTCATCTATTCAAAGTTCTTTCTTTCTGTGATCACAAACTAATCTGACGTTTGTAATCTGTGTATGACTCATAGGTACGTCTTTCACTTCTTCATTCTATTTTTTCTATATTTCTCTTGATTATACTTGTTAGTAAATATTGTGAAATATTAAATCATCTATTCGAAGTTCTTTCTTTCTGTGATCACAAACTAATCTGACGTTTGTAATCTGTGTATGACTCATACCACCATTATGGTTAGCTCTCTGCAAGGGCATACAAAAGGCGGAGCAATTCTGTATGCCATAAGGGGTTTATGTTCTCGTGTACTCTCTACATGGGCCTGTGGCCTTTTTTGAGGGTAAAAAGGACAAGAGGATACAGGTTGTGGGTGCGGCGCAAAAAACACGTCTTTGGCGTGCCGGGTCATGGGCGCGTCGCGTCAGAAAAATTCAATAAATTGGGGTTGGCGCGCCTTTTCAAAAATCGCAGTGACACCAAACCTCAGGAGTTCTATGTCCTGTTACCAATATTGCAGACTTGGATATTTACTGTGAGCTTTGATGACCAGTCTTTTTAACTTTTCCTGCCTGTAATTGGCGAAATTGTTGTGTTTGATTGCTCTACCAACACAAACATTGAATAAATATTGATGCAAAGACAACATTTTGGTTCTCGGCGATTGTTTCTTTCTCAATATGCGCCTGGCGCGCCAAGTGGCGCCTAGGCGCGAAAAAAATACAAAAGCACGCGCCTCGGCGCGCCGCAAGATTATGCTCTTGTGGGGAGTCGACTTTACCACTTTAATATCAGGGAAATATAAGATGAGAAAGTTGGCATGTGCAGGGTCATCATGTGGGAGGAGAATGCGAGCAGAAAGGGAAATTTTCCAACCAAAAGGTTTGATGATCGAAAGAAAATTGGTCGACCTATGCAATCTGAAAAGATAGATCACAGATTGCATCGAGCACGATTTCCATCAACACACATGTAGTTCAACTGATCATCCGGAGCAAAATTGGTCAGAGATCGTCTTTGAAACGGTTTTGACAACTACGGCGGCACCAAGAGAATTGTGTTTGATTACTGCCGCAAAGACCGGTGGCCGTGAAGGAAGTAAGAAGACCCCTTTTACCCTGAAGACATTCACGAGATCAGTTTACCATACAGCTAAGTTGCCAAAATCTTAAGGGTTCATCTGGGTTAATGCTCTTCATCCAGCCTGTTCAAGCCAATCTTTCTTTGATCTCACAGCCTACTAGTTTCCTTCCCAGACTTTTTGAGATTTATTTCACCGACGGTGAAGACTAGGCTCCGTTCAGATTATTCTTCTGACACGCAAATCATGAATTGCGTCTGGTTCGGCAAGGCAATCAGATTGGGTATCAAGGTGGAATTTGGACCCTTCAATCTTGTTAGCCTCATGTTGATCATCTTTACTTCGTTGTCAGTCTGCATCCTGTATATCTTTTTTCATTTCATCCATCTGGCTAGTTTTCACTTCATTGACCGTTCTCAGCTCAGGAGAATTACTATAACTTCAATATTCAAGACAGATTTGTCGAATTATCCCTCAGGATGAAAACTCATTCGTCAAACCTTTGGAGCACGGCGGCCGTTCTTACTATCTGTTTTTGCCTATTGCATAAGGCAAATGCACAAACTGGGAAAACATCAACATTACCCATGACACCAGTTTGTGGGACTGCTTCAAGCACTAAATCGGTCAACTTCAACTCTGGAATCTCACTCGACGCAATCTCGGTGGGTTTACTTGATCTTCACATCTCAATTTTATGATATCATCTTCTGTCTTCATCCTTCACCTTTTCTTTGACTCATCTCACTAATCAAACATCTTCTTCGGTATTATCTTTTCAGACTCTTTATGTGTTTGGAGACAGCTTGTCTGCCACCGGAGATCATCGAGGTGGAACTGCACCCCCAGCGGTTCCCAACCCAAACACAGCTCTCCATGGTGGTAGAGCTTCCAATGGACAAATGTGGAACGAAGTTTTATTGACCAAATCAGGAGCTAAAGTCGCAAGTTTTGCAATTGGAGGTGCAGTCATTGACCGAACTCTGTATAAAAGTGTCAAAGTAAGTTTTGTTTTTCTAATTCCCTTACGATTTGATTCATTCAAGATGTTAGACCACAGAGATGCGTACAACGATGAAAGATTTCTGATAATAATAATTTTCATCATGTAGCCAACTGTCTCGGATATGCCAACACAAGTTCAGAATTATCTTGATAAGAAAATCAAGATTGATCCTGAATCGTAAGTGATCTTTTTGAGTTAAAATATAACCATCTTTGTATGATTTTCATACTCTAACAAACTTCATTCATCTTCAATCGGGGCTTTTGATCATTTTTCTTTATTCATTAAGCTCCCTCACAGCAGTTTACTTTGGCACAAATGACTATGGAGCTGCTATGAAAGATAAAACTGCAGAACGTACTTTACCTTTAGCTGCTCAGGCTTATCTTCGTGAAGTTGGAAGATTAATCAAATCAGGCATGAAGCAATTCCTCGTAATGAGTTGAGCATAATCTCTCACTTTTAGAAAATCTTCCTCTTTTTTCATCATACAGTTTTCTAACTATATTTTATTCTTTCATAGGTCCTCCTATCTCAAGGGATGCCTTTCTTGAACACAATAAAATCATTTGGGATGGAATGTTGAAATACCAAAAGTCTGATAATATCAAATTCGCTCGAGTAGAAATGGGTGATCTTTTTAAGAAGATTGCAGATGATCCTAAATCATTTGGGTACGTTGTTTTTGACAATTGAAGTCTTTGAATTTCAATACAACTCATTTTGATCTTGACCTTGAATGACAGGTTTGTAGATAACAAAAATTGTTTAACATCTATGAAAACTACTGAAGGAGGATGTTCAAATCCAAGACTTCATCCTGTAAGTAAAATCATCCTACTCCTGAAGTTTCTAATGAAGATTGGATGCTCAACTTATGAACCTATCTATAAAACACTTTACCAAAACCTCAGTTTTGGTTCTCAGGTCATCCAGCAGCTGAAACTCAAAAAATGGTTGCACAGTATGTCAACCTTGTTTTGAAGAATTGTGGAAGTTCGAATGTTTCATCCGCCGAAAGAACAAAACGCAAGAGCTAAATTCACATTCATCTAAAACGGGAGTCGGTCTTATGAAAGACTTTTGCTTTCAACTTTTTCCATTCACAACCAAGTCTTATAAACGGTATCATATCTCAGACTCTATCAACCCATAAAGTCTTGAATGAATGGAAAGCCTTGTGATTTTGGGTTTCTCTTTTACCACTTTCCCTTAGCTTGTAAATAAGCTTGTAAATACCCTTGTAAATGATCGTCAATCTTCAAGCACGCTCTCATGGACTACTACAATGTGCACAAACCAAAATGATAGCATTCCTTTGATTTGTTACTTTTTTTGGTCTGCTCTGTGTCATCTTAAGTCAATCAAAAAAACTTCACATCAAAACCTTCCATGTCTGCTTTAATGTTTGGGTACAGCTATTTCTCAACCCTTTGTTCAATGACTCAAATTCAACCTGTCCACTTACCTCTTTTGATCTGATTCATGTCACCACCTTGATTTTAAACCAACACGTTGCATCTAACTTCTCACTCAAAGAAACCGATAAAATGTTTTTGATATTACAAGACCATTTTACATTTTCATAGTACTACAAAGGAATACAAATCATGACTACGCAAGACCCAAATCTTAAACCAATTATCATCTACCAGAACAATATCAAAAACCCAAATTAAACCTGCTCCCCAAGGAAAGTATGATCATATTGAAAGCCTTGCTGCTCAATTCACTTATAGATTAACCTTTTTTTGATAAATATAATATCTTGTAACCCTTCACTTTCTTCTTCTCCTTATGAAATCTTTTTATCCATTTCCAAATCTCTCCCTAAAAGAATCAAACCAAACCAAAAAAAACATAAGTATCATCAAACCTAAATTCTTTCAAACCAAAAAAAAACTCCCATCAAATCGACTATGTATATAAAAAAAACTCACAAATGTAATTCAATCCCTCCAACCTTTTTAACTTCATTTAAACCGATCTTCGAGATAGTATTTTGTATATCGATAATTAAAGAATTGACTCCAGTACAAACTGCTACACCAATCCCATCACCTCTCAAAACCTTTCTAGATTCGACTTCTGCAATGGTAGTAGTAATTGAATCTTGAAAAAGTTCTTCCATATCTGGTCTCGAATGAATCAAATATAATTCAGGCATCGGTTCGGGTGTAAAGGTTCCCATTGAAGCTGTTATGTGTAATCTTAAACAAACTCGTAATTCTTTCGAACGTGAAGAAAACCATTAGAAGGATTGGTTTAGATAGAATGGATCCCATGAGATCTTTTTTGGAAGTGTGGCTTACCAAGTGCTCGAGCTACCCTCAAAGTTTCCTGAATTGGATTCAGAAAAGCTTCTACCATATCTGAAAAAGAAGTACAAGTGTCAGTTATATACATACGCTTATCACCATGAGTATAGTTCATGCTTACCTATATCTTTCAAGGACCAGACTATGATGATATTTCGAGTAGCACCGACTCCTCTCAAACGTGAACCTACAATCTATAATCAAACAAGATAAAATGTGGAATTTTAGCTTCATAGAGGTGCTTGAAAAATGTTGAGAACCGAGCTTACCTCTTCTAATAGAGACATGCAAAATGTGATGCCAATCCCAGTAGCCTATGAGCAAAAAAAGATGAATGTAAATGGTTATGTTACAATGATTAAATCAAGTCCGAACTTCTTACAATCAAGACAGCCGTTTCATGTGATCTCATATCAAGACTCATAGTCCCATAAGGGCTAATATAAAACAAAGAAAAAAAGTAAGTAAGAAACAAACGATTTACTTTCATTATTTTCTTTGATTCGGATGTAGAAAAGAAAACATACCCTTCAACTGAAACTAATAATTGACTATCATCATGTGCAAAATCATAAGCTTCGCCACCTTTTCCTTCCATATCTTGACTACCACTATACATTGAACTTTCATAACCTGCAGACCATTCAGGTTCTAGTGCAGCCTTTGTTAGACCTATGTCATGTAATTTCTGTTTCAGACAAAAGATAATCAGTTTTCCTCTCTTGCGAGATGATTTTATTTAATGCGAAGAGACTTACCCTAGTGTAATCTCCATGCGCTTTGGTGACTAGAATCAGCGTGTTGTTACTCCTAAAGATATCATACACAGGCCAACTCTTCAGCTCTACAATCTTCGATTTCATTTCTCATTGGATAATTACGAGTTGACCATGACACTGGGTTTTCAGACTACTTACCCATATGGAGAATAACTCGCAGGAGCATTCGCAATGGTAAATGGATGCTAAAATCACCGAAAGGTATCAAATCAGAACCACCGAATCTTAAATATAAGATCAACATTTTCTCAACACACCTGTTCGAGAATATATTTTGGTGAATAAACTCTCAAAAAGACATGTTGACCTACAAATCAAAAGATTGTGCTTTCAATATTCCAAGATCGAGATCCTCTTTTGTGAGGATGTTTGATATAAGATTTAAGCGCTTACCTGCTTTCCATCCTGTACCTGTTTCTGTGACTTCAATCATAGTGACACTTCCAGGTAAAGAAGTAAAATGTGCTTTTCTCCATCTCGTATTGATTAACCTCAACAAACGATCTAGGATTACACAACCAGCTGATACATAGACATACTGATTGATGAAGAAAAAAAAGAGAAAGGAGCTCATCAGTTTAAATTCATTGCGACACTTGATGGGTTGAACACTTACTGAATGGGTTGTCGGAGTATGTCTCCAAAGAGCAAAAAGCAAAAGAGGAAAACTATTTGGCAAACCAATGAACCAAACCTCATCAGTCTTTCAATCATCGAAAAAAAGAAGATCTCAAAGTAAAAATCCTTACCCTGAGATATGAATGAATTTGAAAACTTGATAAATTCGTTTCCTAATAGGTGATAAAGAACTAATAAAGATTAAAAGTAAAATCGCAAGTGAAATCGATCCATTTAAGAAAACTGGTCTTGATAGTACTACAGAGATTGGAGCCACTTGTAATTTAAGAATCATGATCCCATGTCCAAGAGCTATGTACCCCCCCCCCGCAGAAACAAGATAAAAGTCAATCTCCCTATAACCTCAAGGTTGAAATGAATCTTTCTCTTGTTTTCTTACCACATAGTACCAAAGAGCGTCCTAAACCCCGAAGCCAAGAAAATCATCAAGAAAAAGGTCAACATTTTTGTTATCAAACAAGTCAACATTTTTTTTTCTGTTTCCATCAAAACACAAATCAAACTTATCCAAACAAACAAACCGAAAAGAGTGACTTACCAACCCATCTATGTAAAACATTTACACTTTCATAACCTTTACCAAAGAGCCCACAAAGATTATTCCTCATAGACAAAACAAAAAGTAAAGGTAATTGAACGATAGCCATCAAACCAAACCTTCTAAACAATCTACTCATGGTCATAATACTAAGGTTTTCATATGCAAGTCCTCCTAAAATAGTAGCAAAGTATAACTAAACCTCAGAAAGAAACACACACCCACATACACACATGAGTTTGAATGAAAGAATTTGGAGATGAGAAAAGAAAACGTACCAAGAAAAATGAGATTTGAAAACAACTTAAACCGGTATACTTGAAGCAAGATTGAAGATTAAGTTTAAATGACCAATACTTCAAAATGATAAAAAATGAAGTAGGATGAAGTGGTTTAGGATTTAGCTGGTTTAGTGAAGATGAGATCGTAGGATTTGATTGGAATTCGATTTGATTTGATTTTTCATCTGATCTTTGTAAACTCCAACCTTGAAGTAATCTTGGTTTTGATAATCTACGAATGATAAATTGGATTCCAAATAGAAATGAAATCTAAACCAAAAAACAAAATCAATTGTGATAACAAAACATCAGTTAGAGTCTCATTCTTTTTTTCTTAAGATGATTTACAAAAAAATCATGATGATCTTTACTAACAAAGAAAACCAAAAATTGAAAAATAGTGATGGATTGAGCTACACTTAAATCTCTACTACGAATCGTATTCATCACACTAAGATTGGTATGAGATAGTTTGGTTGTTGAGGTTGAAATAGAACTTGAAGTTAAATTTCCAGTGGAATTTCCAAGATGTTTGATTGATTGATTTAGATGTGATGAAGTTTCATTTTTTGACAAACTTGGTTTGATGAATCCAGACATTTGTTCTTGTTTTTGAATTTAAAATGAAAGAAATCAAGACCTTTTTGTGATCAAAATTCAAAGGTCGAGAAAAGTTAATGGTGTTGTTTGTACTGAGATGAGTCTCTTCTTCTTTATGTTGTCTTTCTTTCTTTTTTTGTTTGATGACTTAAAGGTTTGGTTTCAAAGAATCCGAATGTCTAAATTAAAGACAGCGTCACAGACACTAAAAAGCGAACCCAAAAGAAAGAGAGAGGAATTCAAGAAAGATAGAAATCAAGAACAGGATCTCTATAGATTTGAACGTTGAAGTGAAGTGATGAAGGGAATTTGAATGATGAACAATCAATCAATCAAAAACTATAATCTTCAAGACTCAAACAACTACGTGTTCCTTCGAAGGAGTGTTGAGAGTCAAGGAGATGATGAGTGAATTGTTGATTTCTTCCATGGATTCTTATCGAATTCGATTCTCATCATCCATCTATCACCATCCACTTTTAACGACCGAGGTAAGTCTTTTATTCTAGTTTTGAAGGACTCTTTTTAATCGGTCTCCATAACAGTTTGATTTCGAGTTGGAAAACTTGCAGTTAAATCAAGCGTGTATCGTCAAGTACCCGTATCGTCATGCCTCAAGTTGGGTGATGGATTGATAGAATCAACCTCGACGCATATAACCTCTTCAAGGATAGGTAAACTGTTTATAACAGACACATTCTTGACCATCAAAAGTAGTTTCATTCTTCTTTCGGAAGCAAGCTACCTCTCGCTCCCCAAGAGGAATTAGAGCAAGCTAACAGTTTGATGGCAATGTGCGTTTAAGAAAGGGCGATGAGATTGGATGATTGAGTGGATTGAATGAGAATTTAACTGGTATGACCAAGAATGAGATTGAATTAGTCAAAAGTCTCCAGAAATCATATCGGGTAAACAAAGACGCTTAAACCTTTAACGTCTTCAGTGGACTACCCATCAAGAACCTCTCTTGAGCGTCTACAGGCTTGATGTCTCGAGACTTGACGTTGGTGCTCTCAGTCTGGACTCTCACTGATCAACACTCACGGTGCGCATATGTAGAAATCATCTTGTTTTGTGTTCTGTGTACGTAACCATGCTCTGTTCTTAACCCAAGACCAACCATAAGATCGAAGCAAGGCAAGTTCTGAGAAATCAAATCAATTCAGAAAACCCATCTCAACTTCTCCTCCTTCTCCTTCTTCTTGCTCTTCTTCATATATACAAACAATACACTCTAAAAGAATTTCATTTCAAAAACTCATTCAATTCACTCAACAACCTCATCTGGGATCTCGGAATGGTTTTCTTTAATGACGTTCAGCCGTTTCTGGAATCCAACTTGTGATTTTAGGACCCGTAGTAGAATAAGTTTTAAAAGCACCTCTAGTACCTGTTAAATTCTCAACATGTGCCTAAAACCAAAAAGAAAAAAGTCCGTTTGATGAGAAAGTCATGAATGATTTATATCTAAAAAGAGTGGAGTTAAGTTTGTCAAAAAGATCTACTAACAGTTTGCCAAGTTTGTTTTGAACTTTGTACAATCGGATCAAGTTGAGGTGGATCTTTTCTAATATGACTTAACCATGAATGCCATTCAGGTGTGACTTGTGAAGCATTGAAATCATGTGAAGCGAAATCTACCCATCTGTTTCTATAGAATGATTCATTTGGATCTTCAAAATATCGATTACCATGTCTGGTGTGGTGAAGATGAAATTAGTACTTGATAGTGTTGAATGTTGAATGGTTTTGTTTGTGAGAATCAAGCTTAACTCATCAGTTCCTTTGAGTTGACCGGCTTTAGGATCACAAATGTAGATTAATTGACGAATGTATTCCTGTTGAAGAAGATCGAATGAATGAGTTTATGTAGTGTTGATTGATTGATGAAGACTTACTCTTGGACCTAGTGCTAAGAAGTTACGAAAAGTACGAGTGAGACCAGGTGCACCCATGATGGAAGTTGATAATAGCAATGGATTGAGAATGAGACACAGAGAGAGAGAGAGAGAGGAAGGGATAGGAAGTTGCAATAAAAGGATATGCTAATATCGAAATACAACAACATTTCATTTCAATCCAACTCAACTCAACTTCAACTTCAACTCAATTCAAAAGAAACTTATCAAAAAGAAATGGCACCTAACAATAAACCTCAACCTCAACATCAAGTAGATATCAAAGATGATCATTTACTCCAAGCAGTCTTACTAGCCGATCCCTTTGGTGCTCAACAATCTTGGGGTCCTTTAGTCAATCAAGATGATGATGATGATGATCAAAACTCGACTAGATTACCTTGGTGTCTATTACCAGTTCTCGGAACTCCAATTCTTCTTTGGACACTTGATTCAATCTCATTAGGTGGTGTTCAACAAGTCTTTCTTTTCATTAGGGATGGAATTGATCAAGTTCGCGCTTTTCTTTCGTAAGTTTTCCAAATTGGACTTTGATGATTCTTTGAATGAAATCTAATGATTTGTTCTTTTGACATGGTTCCGATCAGTACTACTTCTTATCTTGATTCGGATTCCAAAATGAGCGTGACGATCATTCCAACAACAGCCTATACACCGGGTGATGTACTTCGAGAAGTAGATTCACGAGCCTTACTGAAGACAAAGACAGGTGATGGATCTGATATCGGTACCTTTGTTCTTGCACAATGTGGTTATATTGGAAATCTTGATTTAAATCTGGCATCCGATCGATTTGCGATTCGAAGAAAATCAGATGGAAACTTACCTTGTCTTTCGACTCTAGTCAAATCAATTCCCATCACATTAAATTCATTTCAATCAATCCATTTACTTACTCCTACTTCTCGTTTACTTGAGTTTCAAATGGAAAAATTTAAATTTCCTACTTCAAAACGAATTAATCTATCGATTGAATTGTTTCAACAAGCTCAAGATATCCTTTTAAGATCTGATCTTCAATCGATTGGGATTGATATCTGTAGTGTTGAAGTACCTCAATTGTTTACTGAAAATTTTGATTATCAACACATCAGACCTGATTTTATTCATGGGATTCTGACTAGTGATTTATTAGGTAAAACGATTCTATGTGATGTTGTAAAAGAAAGTCAAAATCTTGGTTCAGGTACTCAATGGGCTACACTGGTAGATAGTGTCAAGAGCTATGATTCTGCCTCGTTGGTGACCAGACCGGTTTACAAACCTTCAAGCTTTCTTGGACCTATCTGACTGATATTCTTATTGTTGTTTTTTGACGTCTTCAGAAGGGACATCTTGGCACGAGCATCACAACCATTAGTCCTTGATTCGGCTCGGCCGGGTGGATCTCCACTAACTCAAAGGAGAGGGATGATTTATATCGGTAAAGATGTGGATTTGGCACTGTGAGATTTGTGATACCGATCCCTTGTGTTTTTTTGACGATGGAATTTGGCACTGAATTGACTCTTTTTGGATCTTGTTTTTTGTTTCAGTGACTCTAAGATTGGTAATTTGACTTGTATCGAATCCAATTCAATCATCGGATCTAAAGCACAAGTTGAACATTCCTACGTGGGTAGAAATGTTCAAGTAGGAGCTCGTACTCGGATCATTGATTCATATATACTGGATGGTGTATCTATTGGATCTGACACCTTGATTGAATCTTCTATCATTGGACCTGGAGTGATCATCAAATCTAATTGTTCGATTGAGAAAGGATGTTTGATTGGTAGTGGAGTGGTGATTGGTGATTGTGAATTTTTGAAAGCTGGGAATGTGAGTTTAGAAAACCCAACCGGATCTCAGATATTAAAAGGGGAAGGTTCAACTGGTTGGGTTCAACCAAGAGCGGAAGATCGGAATTCACACTCTGCTGATACTGATAATGACAGGAGTGATAGTGAAGATGAAAATGAACAAATAGATGTCAGGAATTTCAAGTATGCTAGACTTGGTAAGTCTAGAATCCAAATCTCCCGAGATGACACCAATTTAATCTGATTATTCATGATTTGGTTCTGATATTTCAAATCTTATCTAGGTGCTACCTATCGAAACTGTGATTTGATTTCTCCATCAGCATCTACGGAATCTTTTTCATCGGTTTCTTCAATGGCTTCATCATCATCATCAAATGGAGTTGAGAATATTGATTCGATTGGAGAAGTAGGATCTACGAAAGATTTCTTAGTAGAATGTCATCATTCATTAGAACGAGCCTTTAGAGAAGGACACACAGTCGAGAATGCATCGATCGAATTGAAAACATTAAGGATGGCATCTAACGTATCACAATCACAAGTTAGATCAGTAGTGATTTCAGAATTATGTGAATTGGTGGAAAGATCACCTCATCAATTAGAGAAATGGTCAGAATTAGTTAAACATTTGTTGAGTGGAGAAGAAGATTTGATGGGAATGGAAGAAGTGATTTTCGAATTACAATCTTGGATTTCATCATCTACATCTACTTGTAAATCATCAAGTCAACCTATCAATCAAATCAAATTCTTTTCTAGATTCTTACAACAGTTTTATAATGATGATGTGATCAATGAAGAAGGATTGATGAAATGGTTTAAGAATTCAAAGTCTAAAGAGATTGGTGGGACCGATGGATTGAAGTTGAGAGAAGTGGGTGGGAAATTGTTACAGATGATTATGGATTCAGAAGAAGAAGAAGAAGAAAGTGATGATTGATGAAGTTAGTTATATGTAGTTGGGTGTTTTTTTTGTTTTTTTTTGTATTTGAAGCTTGAAAAAATGGAGTATAATGATTTATATACGTTTATTTTGAAATCATTTTAATTTTTTTTCGTTTGGATGATTTATTCAAAAATTGGGTTTTTTTATATCATTTCTTTTTATTACTTATCTTGTATTACAGCCATTCCGATATTTCTTGTCGCTCACATTTTTGAAAAGAAAAAGTTTATGAGCTCAAAACCTAAGTTTCAACTGGTTAAAACCTGAGAATTGGCTGTATTTCATTGAATTACAGCCAATTTCAAAGTTTTATCGAGTAAAAACTTAGGTTTCACCGAGTTTCACTTTTTCTTTTTCAAAACGGAGCGACAAGAAATATCGGAATGGCTGTAAGTTTGTCAAAAAAAAAGAAATTTTTCAATCTGAATTTCATTTTCAATTTTTTTTCTTGCGAATTAACAGAAGAAAAACAAGTTTAGAATTACATTATTATCGTGATTTCTTTACACCTTGATGGTACTTGAGTGGTAGAACAAAATGGTCTTTGTATATGTATAGTGAAAAGAAAGATACGCTGATCACAAAACAACCTATGTATCCCCATAAGTATGTAAGCATAACCTCCTTAAATTATTCAATGCTTTGACCAACCGGGATTTCTTTCTTGATAGGTTGATCTTGAAGAAGGCTTGAATATGTAAGAGTACTTCGTCGCATGGCTAGCTTCTAATCCCATGAAGACCAAACCCATACTTGAGGTATTTTCATCTATGCACCCGGATGAGCAACAAATACCATGATTGCAAAGACGTTCTGAGAATATTCTTTGTTGTATCAGACTCGCGCTTGAGAGTGATAGGTCAAACTTATCAGACCAATCAAGATGTGAACCAGTTCCCATATCCTACAATCTCTCCAAAGGCAATTTGTGTAACTTATATTTTCCATGACTGGCTCCTTTGACTAACATTTTTTTGCTCACATCTTGTGTATGAAGGCCCCATGATCTCTTTCCTGGCGCATGAGTTCTTAGAGGGCCATTCCGAGCTATCACATCAGAGGAGTTGATGATTCTCTAGCACTATCAAGCAGAATACCTTCGAGACAGTGGGATAAACTTTGGTGGAGACATCTTTCAATCAACTATATATCTATGATAAATGCATGTACTTGTATATATTTTTCAAAACTCTATGATAGATTAATACTTGTTTATGATCTTTTCAATGAGATGATAAATTACAACATCGGAGCCGAAAAAAAAAATAAAAGATGAGAAGAAACTGGTTAAGTTATATAGAGCTACAAATAGTTTGATAATGATTTTATTTTATTTATAAATCAATACGATTTTAACTTTCTCTGAAAGTCTTTCACAGTCCAGCTGAAAATTATCATCTTCATAGATAAAACTAAAAAAACCTCTCAAGAAGTGATAGAAAAATTAAAGAAAGATGCTTATTGGTTTGATAGTAGGTGCTTGGAAGTTGATGATCACATAAAATACCATCGAATCTAAAGAGGACAGAAATCAAAAGTTAATTATAAGCCATTTGAAATCGAGATAAGGAATCAAAACAAAATAGGTAAATGAATCTTATGATGTGTGATCACTGACCTCTGCAATACCATCATCTAAATTAGCAATTGCTTTAAAAGTATCAGGAGTTAGATCTAAGTCTCCCCAATCACAAGTAGGACATTCGTCCAAGATCCTGGCTACGATTGTAGCACCTGTTTTTTTATTATGAATCTTGATCCTATTTAGTAAAGAAAACATTATACAAGAAGAAACAAAATCAAGTTAGATCAAGAACAAAAAAAAAACTAGGCAAGATTAAAAGGTATCTGTGGAGGAGAAATAGAAAAAAAACAAAAGACTTACTTTGAGTAACAGTGAGATCCTGAGTGGTATTGAGCAGAATTAAGTGCGACGATGTGTTCTGAATTGGAGCTTTGTTGACCACATGCACCTATTTTTACACCAAAATAACCAAATCATTTCACAATTTGAGTGATCAGATAGTCAAAGAAAATTAGGAATATAAATAATTGACCTATGCCAACAGAAGTATCAAACCAAGTAGCACGTCCAGCGTAAATACTTCTTTTAAAACTTGCAGAACAAGTTGATAAGATCAAAACAAGAATAAATAAAATGGATTTGTACATCTTTAAGATGATTGAAGCTTTGGAAAAGAAGGAATAAGTAAAGAAAGTTGAAGAAATTCAGTGATATAAAATGATGATGATGGTTGTGAAGTCTTTGAGAAGAAAAAAAGATTGTTTAATGATGAGAGTGTGATTCGAGGTTGGTCTTTCTAGTCTGGATATGTATGACAAGGATATCTCTCAATCTTTCAAAGCAGATGAAGGAACATGTGATGAGAAAGCACAGGTGATTGATTGATGGTTGAAAGATATATGGCATCGAGACTAGGGCATTTATATAGGAATTCGGACTACCAAATAGATAGGAAAAACTTTGAAAGGGGAAAGGATGACCATAGAGATGCACATGTTTTTTTTCTTCTTTGATTATACCCAGTATGACTTGTCTCCTCTTTCATCATATCTTTCCAATTCCTAACGACGCGGTCGGATTTCCAACGCATTCCTTTTTTTCTATGAACCCCACTTTGCTGAATTTATCTTTTTATCTTTCTCTCCATGTGTGTTTCGTAAAAGCAAATTGAACTTTCTTTCTTTGGATCTTGACGATTTTAGAAACTTGATACCCTAATAATGATTTCCTTCTGTATCAATGGTACAAGGGCGACAAGGATTGGTGTAAAGTCATATAATCAATTCGTAATGAAGCTCGTTAACCTATATGATGAAATGTAATCTAAGATGGATGCAATCGAATCGCAAAACTTATTCAAAGGTATACAAGATTGATCAGTTTTGTAGATGCTTCCGGATCATCCTCATCATGAACCGCAGCGGCAAGTACGGTGGACAAAGGCCGGACCGGTGGACACGCCGGCTCATGAGGTTGCACCAAACACTTCGCAAATACAACGAACGTTGTGATCAATTTTGAATGCTGAGGCTCTTCTCACAGCAGTTTATGATCAGCTACCTATCATTCATACTTGTTGGATGACGCGAAGCGAATTGTAAAAGAAACTTACACGAATTGGTAAATCTCATTTTCAACTCACTCATCAAACTATCATCCTCAATTTCTTTAGCATCATGGAATTGAAAGACGTGAATGTTTCTGCCCCACCTTGGAAACATGAGTCGAGTTTATAACAATCCTCGAAGAAGATCACAGCCTATCACAGCTATCTATACTGTACCTGGAAAATACTTTCAATCATCTTTTCAAAGTGATCCTAATCAACTTCATGGACTATCCTCGATGCTTAAGGCTTTGATTTTCATCTTCTAAAATGAAACTATATGCTATCGGGTGAAAGCCTTTCAATTCACTCTTGTTTGGAAAGGCGTGGAGAAACAAGGGGATTGATGGATAACCTTTCATTCAAATCACTTCTGCATAGTTCAAATGAAAGTCACCGATCACAAATATTTACCTGTGAACTTGTTGGAAATTCAAAGGTACAGTCAACTCTCCATAAAGGCATACCTTTCATGGGCATATTCCCTCTAAATGCATAGGTTTTTATGAGGTTTTTCCCCACCAAAATGGGATTTGCCAGCCAAAACAAGATTTGTAAAGGCATATTCCTCTAAATGCATAAGAAAACTGCCCGCCAAACTGTATGCCATTAGAGAGAGTTGACTGTAATCTGGATGAAACTTCAGTGAAGTTTGGAAAAAGAGTACAGGACAATCAAACCTTGTTTTTAAATTCAAGATACAATCAACATATGTATGGAAGGACGTCATATGAGCACCCTATCTCATATTTTTGATCTTAATTTTTGTCGATCATCATTTTTCACGTCCAGACCGGATTCATGCTAGCTTCACAAGACCCTTTCCACGCCACCGTCCACGCGGGGCGTTCGATTTGAAAACAAACCCTCCGATATGAGGCACAAATAGCAAAACTGGGGTGGTTGCTTGTTCCCGGATGTATAAATCTAAATTCAAGTTTATTGGTGGGCGAAGTCCTTACGTGAAATGGTGATCTTTTCCAGGGCTCGAATTGACAGCATCTTTACCCTTTGCACACATCCGCATACGTAATCAAAGAAGAAAATTACACAAACAAACAAATATAGGCCTGATAGGAAACGACTCATTTACAGTCAACTCCCTCCAAACCCATACCATTCTATGGAAGCCCAAAGCTATTCACTTATAAGAACTTACAAGATGCCTATTCTGTCCAAGTGAATATCTGTTACTATTTTTCTTATTGGTTCTTTAGTTTTGTGTGCTGCTTGAAAAACCTGACCGTGTAGAAACTGAAGATTGAGATCTTCCTACCACTATTGTTCCCTGCTATTTGCAGGGAATCAGTTGAGCTTGGGTTTGTCAAAGCTTGGTACATTTTTTCACCCTGAACATCCCCGGGGCCTGAAATTCATGTGTTTTATTTTTCCACTAGTAGAGGTGAAAAGAAACTGAGAAGAAAAAGAGAAAGGCAATAAATTTGAGGAGTACAGGAGGGAGGTTTTTATTTGGCTTTGCCGTTGTTTGCACTGTAATTGTGTAATGCTCCAATCCAATCCCTATTACTGTAAGGAGTACACATAGGTACGGCCAGTATGGGTATTGATGTATGGGTTTACGCGGGGTCCACTATATCTTCTTTGTCATCACCCGGCTTCGGAAAGTCTTCACTCCTCAGAGAGCTTACTTTGGACTTTCTGGAGCTAGGTACGTTTATGACCCCTTTTCATCATTTCATTCTAGTTCTTTCTTTGTATCTGTTCGAGGACTCCTCAGAGAGCTTACTTTGGACTTTCTGGAGCTAGTTTCGTAATCAAAACATAACGAAGTTCCTAGTTAAGTGCTCTCTCGAGAAGTCGAGCCGGAAACTTATCCGGACCCTCAGTGAAGGTTCTCACGAACCTTACACTTTTTTTAACTAGATCACTTCGAAAAGTTAAAAACAATTTTTTTCACACTATCTCACACCTATCTATCTGTCGTGTCCTTCAGGACCATCTGTCAATCGGTTTTACTGCTATTTTTTTTGCTTATCTCAGCTTCTGTCACTCTGCCAAAATCTGTCACCCGTCAATCTGTCAACCATCTGAATCAGTCACCATTTCTATTGTCGAACTTGCACCGGCGGTTACCGAATTGTCGAATGTTTGGACCATCTTCTAATATACCACATAACTATCTGGACGATCCGGAAGCCGTGTTGAGACAAGCCAAGAAAGAGAAGCAAAAGAACAGCCAACAGGATCTAGAGAGCCCACCAGCAGGTCGACCGCCAAACTTCTTGTGGCGACCGGAAGCATCACCGGCCGAATTAACAGATCGAGTAGTCTACGCGTCTAGTTCTAGACAGACTGTCAGTCAAGAAAATACCTCAACTCAAACTGTGAAGCCACACTTCTCGCCAATCGAAATCCCGCCATCAGCTACAGAGAAAGTGGTAGTGGACCTGCATTTTACAAAATTACTGGCAATCAGTGTCATTCCTCCAGGCATTGGGTAATATAGGACCCTGGAAAGCCCCGATATACCCTCCTAATGGAAATCCCAAAATTTTCCCCTCCTACCTACACAAATTTCGCCGGTTTTCACAAAAAAAACTCGGATTCCTACCTGTTGACAAAGGACCATTTTTTTTCGGAGAAAGGTCCCAATATTCCTTCCATCTGCATAAGGACCCTCAAAATCTGTGTTTTTGGGCGTTTCAGAGCAATTATACATCTTGATTTTTTTTCCGGAAAAACTTGTATATTTTTTTGGGAATTTGGTAGAAGAATCACAAGAGTTGAAGTCGTTGAGAGAGAAATAGACTAGTGAGTAGTATAGCTATGTAGTGTTATGTAGTTGAGTTTTAAAAAAAACGAGTAATTCAATTCCTGGCCAGCCACTGGAGGGACTGTGTTTCCAGTTCCTGGCCAGCCACTGCAGTCGGTCCACTGCTGTAACAGGTAAAAACATCAAAGTGAATCTCTACACATGAGGGAGATCAGGGTCTGAGAATTCAATATCAAGAAGTAGAAAAAGAGCAGTCAAACGTTTCAGAAAAGGGACTAAAGAGACTGGTATTTTTTTGAATTTGGGAGAGATGAAGCGAAACAACTTGAAGAAATAACACAAAATCAAATCTCTAGATAAGGTGGAGAGAAATAAAAACCAAGTTAGATATTACAATTCAAGTATAGCTTATTTTTTTCTAGCTTTAGCGTGTTCAACAGCAAGTTGTTCGAGAATTGCCTTGATGTACTGTTTCTGGCTCATAGCCTTTAACATAGCACGATAAGCTTGAGGAATCCATATGGTGTTAGCCTCGGGTTCAGTAATATTCATTGATGAGGTGGGGGGAAACACATAGTGAATATCTGCTATATCAAGATGCGAGAATATGAGGCGATTTGGAAAGTTTTCTTCAAAACTACACGCTCCAGGATTCCCTTTATACATGTAAAGCTGGGTAGATGCATATGAGAGCTTAGATCGAGTGGACGATTTGGTGATCCACTCGTGCTTACCATTCTGGTAAATGTAGAGAGCACAGATCTTACCCAAAAAAAGCATCTAAAACGAATCAAGAGTACATTAAATGATCAGAGTCGGCAGCTTCATATTTGAAACAGGGGATGACATACATTGTTTTTTATAACCACAACAAACTTGTTTACTTCAAGTGGATTGTCTTCTGATACATTGCCACTTGTATAAAGTGTTTGTGTTGCGATGTCGAGAGTTGTTGATGTATTTTTTGCAATCCAATTGAGGTCAAGCTTTACATGAATGTTCCATTGATGTAAGCAATCCAGAGCCTTGTCCATCTGCTCAGAGTTTTTCAGCATGATGGCTACCAATTTACTACATGTCCAAGGGTCCAATTTGGTGGCTCCATTTGCATTGGCGTGATCAGAAGCCACAGGATCCTGGTGGTTGTTTTTTTTCTTTCGTTCATTACCTTTTCCTTTTGCTACGCGAGATATAGTAATTGTGTCTAATATCAACGAAAACTATCAAGATCAAACAAAAAAAATGTTGTGATCGAGCAGAATCAAGCTGTTTCAGCAACTTTCAGGCCATTTCAAATGTTTGGACTC